TGATAAATGTATCGCGAGAACGTTAGCACATCATGTCACGGGCATGGGCGCCCATAGGTAACATTTTAGGGGGGGGGGAGGTCAAAATAAAAAATGTCGGTATTAACGCAATATTGTGGTAATATTTATTGAGCTACAAGTTCATAATATTTTTTTCCAGAGGGGGCAAGTGCCCCGTCTTCCCCCCCCCCCCCGATGAGCGCCCGTGTTCACGGGCAATTCAAAATGGGGTCGACGGTGTGGGCAACGAGTTTATATTTTTCTCGCGACAGTATCGGTTGTCGAAAACGAAAACACGGCCGTATAGTGTTTATGACGGCGACGACCTTATTGAGTTTACTTTTTACGAGTCGCAATGTCATATTGTCGTGTTTATTATATCGTCGCCTACCGCGGTGTACAAAGTACAATAAAAAAATATATAATACGCTTTGTCCGCGAACAGTCCACTGACGATTCTACGTGCGCGTACCGATGGACTGTTGTCGACACGAAATACATCATAAGTAGGGCTCGGATTTCAATGCGTTTGCATATTTTTTTTTGGGATATCTCACGCGATGCTTTCCAAGCTACAGATATGTTTCAAGTACTTCGCAATCTAACCACAATAATTTGTTGGGGCATTTTTTGACGGTTTTAATGCATTTTTTAATTGTTTAGGACATTTTGACCTATTTGTCATATTATGACTAAAAAAATTGACCTCATTGAAATATAAGTGCTACATAGTAGTAATTATTTTCATTTTGAACTATTTGAACTAATTTAACATCCGGTTTTCCGGTTTTTACAATCTTTATGTCTACTATGAATTTTATTTGTTCCTCATTTTTTAATAATAATTAAATTTGAATTTATTTAATAAATAATGCATTTTTTGATATTTTTAGGGCATTTTTTAGAGTTTTTAGGTCATAAATGCATTTTTTTGATATTTTTGGGGCATTTAAATCCGAGCCCTAATCACAAGACTTGTATTTTTTTGCCGAGTGCGCAATCGTTCCAGTCGCGAGTAAATACAAATGGTCCAACCCTCATATATGATATCGTGGACAGAGCAATACGTTATACGCACTCCACCACCCTCGGACCACACCGGATACTGGTCACTGGTCACTGTGTGTGTGTGTGGTGAGTGTATCGACAGATATGACGACCTAAACCACTGCGATATTATATTATGTAATACGAATCGTATATCATTATATCGACGATTCCCCGTCGTCTCGTTCTATTATTTTAATGTCCGTAAATTCAGATTCGACGCGCGGGTATTAACATTTCCTCGTATTTTCGTGTGCATGTAGGTACCTCGATTCGGGTTTATTATTATTTTTTTTTTTTCATAGGACACGGCTAAGGTTTAAGGTTACATAATATGTCAAGGATTAAATGCTAGTTCATCATTGAGAACCGAGAAGGTGTATTTCGTGTTATTATGTGTGTACCTACTACGCGATATCATACGCACCGTCGGTTTGTATTTTATTATTCTTGTGGATTAACAAAAAATACTTTCACATCATTGAAACTTTAACACAAAAATAATATTATTTATTATATTGCGCCCATATAATGATATTATATTTGCCATTCAGCTTATATGCTTAGCTGATGCCTGATTCTATATATGTATAGGTATAGTTGTTCATTATTATAATCTTTTAAATGTTTCGCTAAACTTAAGTTCTATATTTCATTGCGAGTGAGTTAGACCGTTGACCAATCAAACCATACCTGTACCAAAGGACGGTTATGACTAGAGACCGAATTTTCGTGTTTTTATTGAGAGTTTGCAGCTCCAATTGGATAAGCTTCCCCGACGATTCATTTACCTATGAACTGATACACAACATATTTTTCTAGAGCAAAAAAAATAATATTTCAAAGCTACAGAATATTTGGTGCAGAAAAATGTCTTAGGAATATATTGCCATATAGGGATTTAATTTTGGATATTTCATACAAAAATATAATGGTTTATAACAAAAAATGCAAAAATATTTTCATTATACTATCATGACGAAATGACGCAAAGCAATATTGATAAGGTATTAATCATGGCTATTTAGCCATGGTATTAATAACATAACATTGAATTGAAACTGAATTATTCTCTAGACCTTTTATCTTATGCTAGCTGTAAGTGAAACTCGGGGGCCCGTTGACTCGCTGAAAGTGGGTACCGATTTTGGAGTCTTAAAAGTTTAAGTCGAAAGTTTGAGGAGGTGATAAGGATAAGTGATAAGGCTTGGGGTTTGGCGGGAATGTTTAAAAATTTCAGCTTCTAGCAATGCGACTCTATTGTTGTAAATTGATATTCGAACTGTCGTCTTTCCGGTGCTTTTCCGTTTGTAAAAATGTATGAAACAGTGTAGGTCGATTGTCTAGGTATCAGTCATCAGTCGTGATGTAAGTCGATAACCGACTGAGCAAACCACCTAAGTCTAGTGCACTATATTTTAATTTTAAAGAGTTATGAGTATTTTAAGTTGTAAAAACAATTTACAATTTTTAAATACTCATAACTCTCTTTAAAATTAAAATATAATAAAAAGCCCACGAGAAGACCTCCGTAATAATCGTACCTTTAATTTTAATAAGAGGTCAATCCACTCTAATTTTTAAGCTAACTGAGCTAAACGTGATCTGCAGAAGGTAAAATTTGATATGTTACGCTCTTGTAAGACGGAGACAACACATGCATCCTCTTAAGAAGAGACGCAGCATGGTGGTAGTTTCTGCGTTGAACGTGGCACTTATAATTATTGTTAGGTGTACTAACTACTTACTAGTGCACTAGGTGTCAAGTTTTGGTAAATTATAATGCCGAAATCCCCTCTACCTCTCTACTTATTATTTTTTGAATTCATAAGGCTGAATTATTTAAGTTTGAATTGTTTTAATACATACTATTATTCTGTTGTTCAACAATATACAAAATGTGTTTTTATTTTTATTATTTAAACATATTATTAATGTTTTTTTGAATTCATAAATCTGAATTACAGGTACGTAATTGTGCTACAATCACATATCTAAAATTAGGTAAATTAAACAACATAGGTACTAGGTACACCAAATATATCACCATATTATAGGTTACATATTTTTTTTTAATTACCATTAATTTAACTATCTTATAATTTTTATAAACTGCTACTTTCATTAATTTTTCAGTATTTAATACATTTTCATGAACATGAATATTTTTGCATATAAAAGATTATTTTGATGAAATTAAAGAGCATAGAAACATCTTATTTTTAAGATTTTAAGTGAAAATAAATCCAGTCTCTAGTCATGACATCATGAAGCGGGGCTTAGGGGTAAGTTCCATAATAACTAATAACAGTCAATATAATCCCATTTATAATTCACTTAGTTGTATTAGTGACTAATATTCACAGTGAGAACTGACAAGGAAACTTTATTCGTCACTACTCACGGAACATTGGAGCTGTTTATGATTTCCGCTTTATACTTGTATTACCTTCAACGTTCTACCCTTCTTTAGAACATTATAAAATTCAAGTATCCTGTATCAAAACATTTTTACGGATCTCTATCTGAATATTATTAATTGTTATATAATAATTTAATTTTAAACCGTAAGCCAAGAACCTTAAACAATATTAATTAGTTTAATTTTAATCTATTAAAAAAGTAAACAACCATAACCACAAATATAAATTGGGCAAGCAGGTATAGGCTAACAGTATAGGTGCCGAGTGTACCTCATTCAGTAGGTAGGTCGCTTGCTTTTTAAGTATTTATAGTTCAAATTTTAACATCATTTATCTAATAGAAATACAAATTATTTTGTACTTAAAAATGTATAAGATCTTCAATTTTTTTAATTAAGGATTGAAAAAAAACACGGTTTCTTAGTAGTATTTCAATATTTCATACTGTAACCAAAAAATTTAAAAATTGTACTGTTTTTTATTTAATAGATATTTTATGTTCAAATTTGGACAAAATTAGATATTGAAATAAAGCAAAATGATTCCAGTTATTTAGTGCAATTTAAAAATATTTTTTGTGGATACTTGTAACTTTTAAAATATATAATTATATACTATGCACATAATGATATTTTTAAGTGATACCCACCTGTTGAGGTACAATTGACCTACCATACAGCAGAGCAACTTTTTTATTTTTAATATACCCTATTTATAATGCATATAAAATATAAATTGTTGAATTTTCTTCATAAATATAATATGAACCCATGTGGCCATGTTATAAGTTGTCAATCAAGCATGCGGTAAATTTTTACCTGCATAAACATAATGTAATAATCATATTCAAACTTAGTTGTCCAACTGATATTGGAGTTTAAGAAATCTGAAGGAAATACATTCAAAATGTATATTACCCATTAGTTTATTAACTAACAATTTGATTGTCAAGTTTACCGGCATTACTGCTTAAATAAATAAAAAGATAATTTAAAAAACCTCAGTGGCACAATACACAAGGTAAACTAAAATTGCAACATCGATCAATGCATAAACACTCTCAATAAGAGCTCAACAACTTAATATGTATTAGATTCTCGTAAGTAACATAATTAATATTGATAATGTGTAACTTTTTGATAGTAAACTCAAAAAATATTTAAACATTCATATATTTAATTAAAACTTATGTACTGAAATTACAAATGTTTGTTATACAATATTATATTATATTAATTGTTCAATTTTATTTTAAATTATAAAATAAATAAATGAAAATTACTTAGCTATTACATTATAAAATAAAACATAAATTAATTAGTTATTAAATTAACCTAAATCAGCAAAAAACACAATACATTAAAAATTTGAATAAATTACTTGGTTGACAATGTATACAAATGTAATACAAAACAAGTTATGATTAATGAAAAAAAAAATCATAAAACTTAAAATTTAATAAAAATATATACTTTAAATATTGTTCTAATATATAATATATATATACTTAAATACATTCAATGAATGACAAAAAAAAAAAAACAGAAAAAACTTCATTTTTTAAATAATTATAACAATAAAAGTAGTTAATTGTATCAGGAAATTTTAGGATAAACTAAAGTAGAAAAGCACGAATGTGAGATTCAAGTAATTCACATACATTCTAATTCTTTCTTCCATATTATTTATATTAAGATTAAAATAACATAACAAATCAGAATATAGTGTTTAATAGCTTAAAATTCTACTTTTAAACAGGTAAAATATAATTAAGGGATACAACAAGTATCTTTTTTCTGATGGACTCTTAGGTTTGATTTAAATCTAAAAGCCTGGTTACATTTAATACATTTGAATGGCTTGACACCAGTGTGTAATCTCATGTGCAATCTCAAATATTTTGGAGTGTTTAAGACTTTCAAGCAAAGTTTACACTGAACACGTTTACGTTTATAATCAATTAATTCTGGAGCAGCATTTTGGCTCTCATAATTCTCAACATGTTCGTTTATAGTAGATGTAGAAATATTGGATTTGTGGTTTTCCAAAATATGATTACCTAGAGTAACATTTGTCTCAAACTGCTGACCACAGTCTTTACACATATACATATTTAACGTATGTATTTTTGAATGTTCTTGTAAAGTAATATTGTCAGCAAACTTCATTTTACATATTTTGCAAAAGTATTTCATAATATTTTTTTTATTTACTTCCATAATTTGCCCGCCAGTTTTTTTATTTGTCGGGTTTGTTTCTACATAATGTTTAAATAATTGTTTATGTTTATTTTTTAAATGTTCATGGTAAGAAAATTTGTGTTTAAATGTACTTCCACAAACATTACATGTTATAGGTTCAAAAGTTTTAGTGTGTATTATGGATATGTGGCGACTTAAATTACCTACATTACTGTATATTTTACCACATAATCCACATTTAGTGCCATTAGTGTGATTACCTCTATTTCGTTTCTTAATTGCAAGTTTTTGTTGAATTATGTCCATTGGTTTGTCTTTTTGTAAAACGGTATCATCGGTAATCAAATTGGTTGTATCTAACACATTATGAACATTTCTTTTATGTATATTTCTATTGGAAGTGGTACTATATGTTTTCTCACATATATTACATCTGTATCGACCAAATTTGGAAGAATTCTTTGTAGTTTTATTTGACGTAAACTCTGGAAGGTTACTTTTACAATGGCGACGGCATTCTTTGCTCATTGTCATATGTTTCTTCCACTGAGATATAGAGTTATATTCTTTTTTGCAATATCGACATTTCATTTTATCTGTATGATGTATAGATTCAACCTTTAGTTTACTAATGCTTGATTTTAAATTATTTGTTTGTTGCTTACTTTTTGAATTTGAATTGTGTTTTTGGTAGTGGACTTTTAAATGCCAATTCCATCGAAATTTAAACTGAAAAGATCTATTACAAATCTTACATACAAATGGTACAATTCCAGGATGTGAATTTCGGTGAACATTCAATTGCAATGGAGTAGAGAATTTTTCCTCACACACATCACAGGAAAACCATAAATGTTCTATGTCCATAAAATGTGTACCGGTTGAATTGTCATCAACTTGAGTATGAACAAACTCAGAATCATTACAATGTTCAACTTGTGGTTCATCATTAACCTCAATAACTATATTGTTTTTATTTTGACTGGTTGCACTTATAACTACATTTTTTAATACATGTTTTTTTTCATGCATAATATGAGAACGTTTCTTACTGAATTGCTTGAAGCAATATTGACATTTGTATGGTAAATAATAATGAACACGCATGTGATTGGTCAAGGCACCGAGATGTGCAAAATGTTTGTTGCAAGACATACAAACTGTTGATTTCTTCTCATTGCTGTTATTGACACAGTTATTCAAATTGTTATTTTTGTTATTTACTGGAACTGATAATTTGTTCTTATAATTATTAGTTAACTCAATGTTTTCAGACTGAATGATTGGTTCGTTACAATCAATCGATGGAAGTTGTCTTGGTGTGTTTGGATTTAAATTATGCTTTATTATCATATGATTTGTAAAGTAACAACGCTTAGGAAATTTCTTATTACATAAATTACAGAAATTTTTTTTCTTAATTGATGATTTATTTATTTTTGAATGTTTTATTGACATAGTCTCAAAATCAGTCGTGTTGTTATCTTCAATACTTATGCTGTTTTGGATTAAAATTGGTTCAAGTTTAATATTCTCATTATTTTGTAATAACTGTTTGTCTGGGATGATGTGGGATTTTTCATGATTTGTACGTTGACCTTTTCCAGAAAATATTTTATTACAATACCTACAGGAAAATGATTTTGGTTTATTATGAACAGTAAGATGAATTTTTAATGAGCTCTTGGAAGGAAATACTTTTTTACATGTACTACAGTCATATTTGCATTTCATTTTTTTGGCACTTTTTAACCTTGATGTAGTATCTGAATACGAATCATCTGTTAAAGATAACTTCAATTTTCTATTTCTTAAGATTGTACGAACTTGAGGTTCCATGTTTTCAGAATTAATAGGGTCTTCTAATGTATTAGACTCAATTTCTAGAGGATTTAACTGAACTGTTGGCACATTTAAATCTATTTGCTGTTGATGATAGGTCATGTGGTTTGTCCAAAGAACTACAGAGTTAAATGTTTTATCACACACAATACATTCATGCATATTACACTCACTGTGATCACTCATGTGTAATGCAAATGAATGTATATCTGTAGATGGAGAATTTTTACAAATTCTACATATAAATATAACATTGTCTTGTGATGTCTGATCATAATCATTGTTGCGAAATCTATTTTTAATATTAGGCAATTTTCTAATGCAGATATAAGGTGTTTCTCTAACTGTAGATGCAATATTATTATTAGCTATATTAGTAGGGTTTTGTTTTGCCATAAAATCATGAGGTTGATTTACCAAAGTTGATTCATTGCTGTTTACTGAATCCACTTGATCTGAATGGTTCCTTTCTCTGGAATTTGTACTCAAGTTGTTTTCTTGCTTAATATTTATAACAGGGCTATTATTGTTTGAGATTGAGTTATGTGAAGCAGCCGATGGCATTGATTCATTGCTGTTCACTGGGTCCACTTGATCTGAACTGTTCCTTTCTCTGGCATTTGTACTCAAGTTTTTTTCTTGCTTAATATTAATAACAGGGCTATTGCTGTTTGCTATTGAGTTATGTGAAGCAGCCAATACAATTGATTCATTGCTGTTCACTGGGTCCACTTGATCTGAACTGTTCCTTTCTCTGGCATTTGTACTCAAGTTTTTTTCTTGCTTAATATTTATAACAGTGCTATTGTTGTTTGCCATTGAGTTATGTGAAGAAGCCGATACAATTGATTCATTTCTGTTGGCAAAATTAGTTTGATCTGAACTATTTGTTCCCCTGGAATTTGTACTTAAGTTGTTTTCTTGCTTAATATTTATAACAGGGCTATTATTGTTTGAGATTGAGTTACGTGAAGCAGCCGATGCCATTGATTGATTTCTGTTGGCTAAATTAGTTTGATTATAACTATTTCTTCCCCTGAGAGCTAGATTAAGAGCATTAAAATCTATAATAGGGCTTTCGGGGGCTATTAATGAATCATAATATGCACTAAGCGATAGACCTGATCGCTCTCTGTTTATTTGAGCTTGCCGTATGTTTATCTGGCGCTGAAAATGTTCCCTGACTGTGTTATGAAAGAATCTTTCTTGCTTCATATTTAAAATTCTCTCTTGGAGAACGTGCATCGGAACGGGCGTTGGAAAATATTCGCTGTCCACTAGTCGGGTTAAATCATCAGTTGTATCCGGAGTTCGATTAATTATAATGGGCCTCGGTATTGCACGGACAGGAGGAGTCACATGAGAAACTGTATTAATTGTAGATTCATCAGATACTGTACGTAATTGATTTGAACTATTTCTTTCCAAGCTATTCGATAAGGTTTCAGTTGGCTGTGAATTTGGAGTTCTGAGCCTCAGTATTACACGGACAGGAGGAGTCACAGGAGGAACTGTATTAATTGTTGATTCATCAGATACTGTATGTAATTGATTTGAACTATTTTTTTCCAAGCTATTCGATAAGGTTTCAGTTGGCTCTGAATTTGAAATTATGTCATTGTTCGGAATATAGGTATGTGGAGCAGTCGATACAACTGTTGAATTACTGTTCACTAAACTGGTATGATCTGAACTATTTCTTCCTGTAACATCTCTGGATAATAATTGTCTTCCGTTTGTATTAAAAGAAGAATCATTTACAACCTCAGTTTGATTATATCCTCTTATTGTAGATGTTTCATCAGTACTTGCTTTCAACAATGCATTTTGAGTAACTTTTTTGTGAACATGCATATGTTTAAGCCAAACATTTCTTTTACTAAAGAATTGTCCACAATATTTACAAGTGTAATGCTTACAACCAAAAGTCGTATGATTTGTCAATGATATAGAATTATTAAATGTAATTCCACAAGCAGTGCAAGTTTTTTCATTAGCTCTGAATTCACCACAGACTTTAATCGATTTTGTACGAGAACTTCTTAAGCAATGAATTAAATGACAATTCAAATGTTGTTGTTTTTTAAATTGTTGGTTACACTTCTGACATTTAAATAAATGTTCATTATGAATATTTTCCATATGATTATTCAATTCAGAAACTGAAACATAATCTAAGCAATAATTACATTGGATTTGAGAATTGTCATGAGTTTCCATATGTTCGACCAAATTCTTTTCACTGTAGCATTTTTGGAAACAAACGTTGCATTTAAATTCAATTGTTTTACTTTCCCAAACACCGTTTAATTTACATAATTTTATATTCGGAATAGTATCAAAGTTAGTTTGATCCTTTTCATGGCTATTTTTGTGTTCAGTAAACTTAGATCTATACTTAGATTTATGCATGGAATTGTGATGTTTTTGAATGTGTCTATTCAAACCAAACTTTAACTTAAACCGTTTTCCACAAAATTTACATTTATTAGTATTACGATTTACTTGTCTTTTGTGTTCGGCCAAGTGATTTTTCAAAAGATAATTTAAAACAAAGCTTTTTCCACAAATATTACAATGAAATATTTTATCACTTGCATTTCCATGATTTAAGTAAATATTATTATCCGGGACATCCTAAGAAAAAAAAATGTATTTATAAATAAAATAATAAATGTAAGTACATGTATTTAAGGTATTCTTGTCATATACTATCTACCACTCATAAAGCACAGTTGTATGCAATCTGCCACCAAATGTGTATATCTATTTTCTATTTCAAACAAGTTTGGAAAAAAATCTCGACAAAAATGCTTTGAGGTTCTCGAAAGTGCAATCCTCGTTGACTGGGGTCAACACGGCTGACTACTACAGCCAATCACAGTGGTTCTACCATTCTGGGGCTGCGCAAATTTGTCAAGCTTATTTGGAATTGTTTACATACATAATATATTTACTGATAGTATAAAAATTCCTGAAAAAGATACTTCTGATTGTTTCTTTAAAGTGGTTAACAGTGGGGTTTTTGAGAGTATAAAGAGGTATACGGGGCGTACCCATTTACCATTTGGAGAACTAACATAAATCCTGTGAAAATAGTACATAATATAACTTAGAACTCAAACAGATTAAGCAATCCGTATTCTGTATTATTATTTATTGTTATATGATATTTATTAATTATCTATAAGTTAGAACTATATAATAAATATTAGGATTTAATACCAAGTTTAAGTACATAATGTATTGTCGTATTGGTATGTTTAATCATTGTTCATGACCGTGATCAATGTAGTTTTTTTTAAACAGGTTAATAAGAATTGCGATTAGAATTATCAAGTTAAACGTTATGAAATGTCAAATCTGACCTGTGAAAAATAAAAATAGAGAACAAAAAATGTGTTTTTGTTAAAGTTTGGGAATTTGTAAATGTATTATGTAAGAGCCTAAAATAATTATTAGCTAGCTGCTTTTATAAGGGTTCAATTCGATAAGTTTTGAACCCATAAAATCACATTATTTATTCCATATTTGTATCACTGCATCAAGTTCATAAATGAGGACATACCATTTAATATTTTTACCAAAACTCCACTGATTGTTAAGATATATTCAAGTGAATAAAACAATAAAATGCTTCCAATAATTAATGCATAAAATGTAAATTAAATATAATACAATATATATAATATTCTAAATACAATTTGGTACCTAGATAGCATATGTCTTGTGTAAACAAGTGATAAACTAGGTATAACAAGAATAACATATTTAAAAAGGATATTACCTGACATTCCAAGGGTAACTCCACATTATTTTGGTTTGAAACATCTTTGGTAATTTCGATTCTACTTTCCCACATACAATCATCCAACATATCAGTTTCAAGCTTAATAACTTTCTCAACATTTTCAGATACCAAAGACACATGATCATCTTCAACTGTATACCATGCAGGATTTACAATAGTGTTTTCAACATGTAATTCACTATAAAATTAAAAATTAATTAATTAATAATATTTTATAAAATGTCATTATTAAATAGAAAACAGAAGAAAATAATATGAAGATTTTAGTTATATGCAAGTACCTGGTAACAGCATCAGAATCACCAGTGACTTTAACTTTTTTGTAGTCTTTCATTGGAACCATTTAAGAATATTCTAAAGACCAAAATATTTAATAATTTTATTAATTCCAAGCACATATAATATCTTATTTGAACTCATAATTTGTTAATCATATTTGTTTGATAAGTATTTTTTTTTAAAATATAATATACATCTGAACAATTGATGAAAATATTTGTTTACAATTAAAACTGAATGCTATCCTATAGTTTGATTTAAGGCCCGCCAACCTAATGAGAGAACCCGAAAAACTGAGAAATAATTGATAAGGACACAAAATATTGTGAATGTGGAAAGGTCCAGACAGCGTTACATCTATTAATTTGCAAAAACTGTCTAACTAGATGCAAGATAGTGGACTACAAATGTGCAAATCATAATGCCATAAGATAACAAGCACAATATTCAAAAAATACTGATTATACATCACCAAACATATTTAATCATGTATATCGCTTTTATTATTAATTATTTGACTTCTGGAACGTCCGATAATGTTTTAGTTATACAGTGAAACCTGACTTAACGGACAAAATGAGCAGGTCCTGGCAAAAAGATAGGCATTCTAATGTATTTCTTTATATTAACTGTCTATAACAGACTTCTTCTATTATGGACACTAATATTTAATCCAACAATTTCATAACGGACAAAAATACATACATACATACTATGAAACGGTGTCGATAAGGAAAGCAATTAGATCATCAGTGAAAACACGGATAATTACATTATTGCCGATTATGATGACGCTAATTGCCTATTGAATTTATACAGTCCAAGATATCCAGATATAAATTTCAATACGTATAAATGATAACCAAGAGTATCAAACGTTTTTATTCAGTTTCTATCGCTTCGCAGTCAGAGTTGTACATATTTTCCTTAGGGATGCCACCTCCCGTGCCGCGTATAGCTTTAAATTTAAAACAAAAGGATCTTCATAATTGAGTGAATTAATTATCCATCACAAGTTGGAAATGCCCAAATCGAAGTTCAAAAAACAAACATCAATAGAATCATTTTTTAAAAAATAATTAATAAATTTATACAATAATAATAGTTTGTACATATAATACATTTATAATGTGTCATTGTATGTATGTAATATAAAATTGATAATGGTAATGCATAGCCAGAATTTTTTTTCGGGGGGGGGGGGCTGATCAAATTTTTACACAGCGGTGGTTCAGTTTTTGATCGAATACCATAGATCATTAAAATAATTTTTAAATTTGATTAACATTTTGGGGGGGCTGCAGCCCCCTCAGCCTCCCCCTGGCTACACCACTGGTATAATACATATATGTATAATATTAATTAAGATTATACCTAATATGTACATATTATAAAATATAAAACAATACAAATGTACGTAAAAATTTTAATTTTTAAAACATTGAAACCTGTCTACAACAGATACCTGTCTATAATGGACAATTATTTTGGACCCGTGACTGTCCGTTATATACAGGTTTCACTGTATATTGTGCTGACATTAAATAGTTGAACCATTGAGGGTGACGACCAAGGCCCCCCTTGGGTATAACTCCCCAAAAAAAAAACATATACTCTCCCATCTCAGAAAAAAAATGTATGACATAACTAGATAAATATTATGATGTGAAATGTGAGTTGAGTTATTATCAATTGTGAGTAATTTTGTACTCAAAAGTTGTAAATAAAATGACTTTTTGGGTATTGCCCTCTTGAAAGTCAATAGTCAATTAATGTGTACCGATAATAATCATAATTTATCATATTGTACACAGCGGTGTATTTACACTATATCTCAGTTTTAATATACCTCAGATGACAAATTGGCAGCAGTACTTAGCTTTATGAAATAATTCAACACAGATGGGCACCCGCAGGTCGTGGATTGGATATAGGAGTTGGTATATACAAGATCAGTTATACCTTATGATAGACAAGTTAACTTACTATTTTCTCACTTGGTGAAGGATGGCAAGTCGATTGTGATCAAGCACACAGTATAACTGTACTGGGTTGTCAGGCCGCGTACCAGAAACTCAATGAGCCTAGTGTCGGTTTTGCATGCTGAAACATCAAAAGCTTAATGGAAATGTCGTTGATTTAATACAATTTCAAGAAAACCAAAGCCCGGGTTCAAGACAGTAGGTTGATCAGTAGACTGAAGGTTGGGACGTTTCAGAATTGAGTGTTGGTACATCGAGCGGAAACGGTCATCCCCAGGGCAGGTTGTGTTCGGAACCAATGTCTGTTCACAGAATAATTTATTCTGTGGTCTGATTATACAGAAGGTCCGAAATCAATTCTAAATTTCTAACCATTAACCAACTATAGTGGTTGTGAGTGGCCGTCTCAGCGTTCGGTTACCATCGGGTAGCTAGAATCAAAGCAAACAGAAATTAAAACACCATTAGCGATATGCACGGACGGTTTATTACGGAAATGAACGTTCTGGGTAATGTAAATTATAAACCATGATAAATTTAATTTAATTTATTTTTGTCTAAAATATACAACACATCGACGAGGAATCAGACGCCAGACGAGTAATAATGGTTGACCGTTGTGGCGCTGTCGTCACAAATCACAACTACCAATGTATGGTTTACCCGCCCCCATCCCCCGGTCGACGACGAGTCGGTACAATTTTGTGGTACGACTGTTCGAGACTTCATTATTGTTGGTTATAAACTAAAAAGTAAAAGAAACATGACAATAAATTACCGATAGTTTACAGCGAGTCGGCGTCGTTGAATTAAATCAGAAACAACATGTCAGCATTGCAGTCCCCATACTCGGAATTTCGAATCATATCAGCATTCGGCATCCACATTCATGTGCATTTTGAATTATCTAGAATCTACACAATCGTCGCAAACGAATAATTGTAACTCCGAAGTCGAATCTTAGATAAAATGCAGAAAATTAAAATCTGTTAGCAATAGTATGGTAAAACCATAATAATGCGTTGTAAATGTGTAATACAACTTATAAAACAACGAATATATTATTTCAACAGGTATTATCTATTAGGTACTTGGCTATAATATTGTGAATTATTTTACTAAGTTGTCCACTCGGAAAATGAAAACTGAAGAGCAATGACAAAAATTCAGAATAAATAATATATTGTACAGTGTGCTACACTGGCACTGTGCCGGCGTGCGGCGCTGCACAACAGGACATCTATAATGGCACCGGTAGGCGCGCCACCGCGCCGGTCCGTCCAGCCATGGCTAAAAAACTATTTATTTAGTTTATTTATTTAGTCATTTATTTAGCCATGCGTCCAGCTATCCAGGCACCAGACGGTGACGTACTGACGTATCACCTAAATCCCCATCCTATTAGATCCCCTTTGGTAAACTATATTTATCTCTATCTATGATATCATATTATTGTCTACTTGTTTCATGTGATACATATTGTGTATAATATGAATCGGCTATTCGGCTGATTAGTGATTACTAATTTCAGATTTGACTGCTTGAGTACCCTAGTGTAAAATGTTCAAATGTGAGTACTGAATAGTGAATCTGTGAAGTTGGCCGTTGGCGATCAAACAAGTGTTTACTTATAATTCAACGAAATACCGACTATTGACATGAAAACTTTCTCTACGGTTTTATAAAGGTAAAAAAATCATTCAAAACAATGAAAGCATACTGTCTGCAAAACGGCAAATATTTGGGTGTATCCTATTTTACAAATGTCAAAAATATTAAATGGCTAAAAGACAACATGATTTCAATTTTCAAAGATAAATCGCCAGTGTTAATAAGACGCAGATTGATTGTTGATCCATTTCAGATTGTAGTTGCTGTAAATAATGCTTACTTGTCCAGTGAAAACTCGTGCATGAAAACTAAGTCTCTTGCTAACGAAATTTTGTTCAATTTATCAAGTTCAAAAAATATCACACAGTCGTTAAAAGATACCAGCGCTAATGACCAAGATGATGAAATGGTAGTTGTAATTATATCAAAGTTCTCCAATGTTCCTGAAATGAAAATATTCCAAGAAAAATGTATTACAGGATGTGAAACAGATATTTCAGAAATTACAGAAAATATTGATGAAAATTATATAAAATCTTACTACAAAATAAGTCAAATAGAAAGTGGAAACTCCAGTCTACTCGATTCCATTGTTACTAGAATTGCTTGTAAAACTCTAACATTGTAAAACTATAAATTTTAATAATTATAATTTCATTGAGTTACTTTAATTGCTTATACCACTACTTAATTCTTCCAAGAACTTGTGATCCTACATTTTTATAAAATTGCCCGTCTTATAAACAAATCTCAGGATCAAAGAAGCAAGTTATAATGTTTCTGAAGTCTTATTTCCATTGCATCTATATCTTTTATTTAATAATATATGTCTACCAACTATCTAACATTCCTGTACTAAAGTTAAAAGAGCCCTTTAGTACTATTCAAATTTACTGATTAGCTAATAAGGGATAGCCATACATCACACAGTTCAAACTATACTGAGCTTTTTCATCTGACAATGTGTAGATGTACCTAATCATAATGAGCAATGACTCCTAAGAATCAACATTATATTTGTATGGTATATTATCACGGTTGCCTAAATTCATAAAATTCGATGAAACACCTCATTAGTCAAACAGTTCATGTTTAATATACTCTTCAAAGTAGTAAGTGACCCAGACGGCAAACCAGTTTTTGTCAAGTAACAACTGTTTGTCATCTCCACCTGGTAAACTATCACTTATGCCAGTCTACTGCTTGGGTCATTTCTTATATCCAATAGAGTATTACCTAATAAATATATATTTATTTTTTAAATTTACTATTTATATGACAATGTATACTTTGAGCAATTTGTATTTATCATATACAAGTTAAAAATGTTGTACTAATACAGTAATACTTACACAGTTTAAAATGTAAATCTCTTTTTATTTTAAAATTGTGCTTTTAATATAGAATACCAAAGAACAAGATAAACACAAAACTAAAAATATGCTAGAATATGAAAAATGTTTATTACAAAAAAAAAATTATTGTGTAATGAAATATTACATTATTTGTATTACCAGCTTAAACTTAATAAAAAGGTAAATAAATTAAAATAGAAGGTAATTTTTTTGTCACAACAATTTTTTTTATTTAAAGCATAATTAATAGTATTTAATGTGAAATTAGTGACACTTGAGTTAATACTCCCCCAAGCCAGTCACTTCTTGGTGCTAGGGGGCAGAAGCGCTTGGCCACGATCTTTTCCTCTTAATTTTATACCTGAAACAACACATTTTAATTTATTACAATTGAATGCATAGAAAATTTATTCTAGAAGTATACAACATGAAACCTAATTTAAATATCTTTAAACTATCATGGTTTACGAATGTCCTGTTTTTCATAAATATTTTCCATATTAAATAATATAATAAATTAAAATCATAATTTTTAATGGTTGTACATATACTTGAAAATGTAATTATTGGTTCTATTAATTTATAGATTAGTTCAATTTTGAACCACTTCTTTTAAAGTGTTCAAAGCACTTTAGGGAGCTCATGAATCGTAAATGTGAACATAGGTACTCTATAGTTCATAAATTTAATTATTATCAGGATAATATAGTATAAAGCCATACAAAAATGAAATAAAATGTTTTTAATAAGCTCATATTATAATCATTAATAAAAAATTATGTTAATGCATTAATATATTTTGCCGCTAATTTTATTTTTATATTCAATTGATGTTTCCTTAATTGTGTCAAAATATCTCATAATTTTAATTATGATAACCATTTCATTAATTTATCCAATATTTAACACTATCAGCAGATGGTGATAATAATTTCTTAAGTAATCTGGATTATATTTTCTTGAATATATAAATTTCTATATTTTCTAGTTTTAATTCAAATTTTATTATAACACATAACAGAATTGAAAAAAAATAATATTATTTGTATTTTATTAACTATCAACTAGCTGAATAACTTGGTTTTGCCCATCTGAAGGTTTTGTTTTGTGACAAATCCTAAATATATAAGCTAAATAATTGTACCTATCCCTTTCGGTTAGAGTGTACCTCAGTCCACAGACAAATGCATGAGTGTACTTTGTGAAATAATTAAATCTAAATGAGCAATCGTTTATTGGATTTAGTACATGATATATTTTTTAAAGTGATTGAAACTTTTACCCTCCTAACTTTTCTGATCTCTTAAAACAATCATCAAAAAAAATGTCCATCAAAATCAATCAATAAAGTAGTTTTTGAGTATATAACCTGTTAAAATACATTGAATTTTAAGGCATAGTTTCTTTAATCAAGGTCATGTAAACATGACGATTTAATGCATGCTTGTATAAGATCCGACCAAGAAACCAATGGCAACCATTTATAAGCAAAAAAAAATCCTTGTTCAAGAGCCACTGTAAAATGCAAAATTGTGGAAAATCTTTTCTTTGTGGTTGTCTACATCATAAAACAAAACTACTGACCAAATTTCATACTCATAGCTTCCATGGTTCTAGTTAGGCAATAATGAATACGCCAGTCAGGACAAATTCCTTTACATTGAAGTGTTTCATTCAGTGGCATAGCTGGAGGAGTGATGGATGGATTGTCCCCCTTGGAATCTTTAATTGGTGATAATTTATTCACAAGTATAGCCTATATAGGTAATACAATAATAAAGTATTAAAATTGCCCCCTCTTGATTGAGCTCCAGGTATGCTACTGGTTGCATTTAGTATGAACTACATATAAATATGTTATTAGTTACTGCCAGTGCCGCAACTACCGGGGGTGCAGGGGGTGCATTGCACCCCCAGCAGAGAATTTAGAGGGCCCCGAAGGGGCCCTCTTTAAATAATTGAAAAAGACTTAAAATTATTACATAGTAAATTAGAAAATAATATAGATAATAATATGTGTCTAATGTCTATACTCTATAAATAAAATATATATTATGTTCTGTTGCAACAATCATGTTACCAGTTAAAGCAGAATCAGTAATAGTTTATTTTTAATAAACCAGGAATATATCAATTAGTTAAAATTATTATAGTACCTATTCTAGAAATTTAAAAATTTTTTTTTTTAATTTTCATATGATTAGTTGGTGAATTGGATTTAAAGTTGGAGTTTCCAACAGATAGAGGACATTTTCAAAATATCACAATCAGTTCTAATTTGAAAAAACAAATTCTATCATATGGTCCTTGCAAACCGTCAATAAACTTTCCTTCGGACATAATTTTTAGTGATGAAAATGAAACTATGAAATCTAGCAGACACTTTTTTATCATTAGTTGATACTGCTTTATTTCAACTCGAAGATCGTTTTAAAGGACTTAAAGTAGTATCAAATACTTTAAATTTTTTATTGCCACCAAATATAATAAAATTAAATGAAGCAGAAATAGTAAAATCATGCTATGATTTTATTCAGTTTTACAAAACTGACGTAACTTCCGATTTAACTAGTCAAGTTCTATCTTTAAAGGAATTTATAAAAAACACTGATATGAAAACAATTAAAGAATTATGTTTATATTTAATAGAAAACGACCTATCATCTTTGTATAGTGAAGTTGTTACATCTTGTATTATATTTTTAAGTTTACCAGTGACTGTAGCATCGGCCGAACGGTCATTTTCTAAACTTAAACTGATTAAAAACTATTTAAGAAACTCGATATCTCAAGACCAACTAACAAACATAAGTATATTAAATATAGAAAGAGCTCGCACTGAAGAACTTGATGTAGAAAAATTAATTATTGACTTTGCCAATCAAAAAAGCAGAAAAAAAAATTTTTTAAAGTAATTTTAATATTATAAATATGTTATTATTTTTGTAATGTAAATGTTTTTATCTAATGTAAATTTGTATTTTTTTAGTTAAAAATAAATTTAAATTGTGGTGGATACCTACTTAACGTTTACATATATAAATATATTTTTCATGAAAAAATGTTGTAAAATGTTGGTAAGTAAGGGGCCCTATTATTTGGTATTGCACCTCGGCCCTATTAACCTTAGTTGCGGCACTGGTTACTGCTATATTATTTATGTTATGCATTTAAAATACTTACAAAGCACTTTTTCAATTTTTCCAATAACTAATTGATTAGGTATTCCACGTCCAGCTTCATAATCTTGAATTACTTGTGGTTTCTCATTAACTTTCTTAAATTATTAAGACAATTTGAGTAACAAACAATACATTTAAATATATATATAACTTACAGTAGCCAGTTCTTTTTGATTATAACCTTTGGCTTGTCGCCCTTGTTGTATAAGACGGCCTAAATCAATTGGCACTTTTTCATGTTTCAATTCCTCAGTTTCCCGATCCAATTTTGCAGTATTTTTTGTTGTAACTTGATGTTTATTAGTAGCTGCACCCCCTAATAAATAATAAATAACAAATAAAAAAAAACTAATCATGTAAATTGTATGCAAAATGATGATGGTTGTTAAAAAATTTGGAAAAAGAAGAAACATTTATTTGTATTAATGTTTTTTTAATTTGTATAGTAATAACTAGTATCTAAATACCAGATTTATATGTTTTCACATATCCTTATTGAGCTTACTCAGACTTACAAAAGTAAGAAATGAGGAAGATTCATTCGACACAAACTGCGAAGTTCATAAGAAAAAGTTTTTTAGATTATTAAGCTGATTTTGGAATAAATTATAAATTATGCCAAAAAAAATACTAAAATTTAAAAAAATTTCTTTGCAAACAATGAATGTTAAACACAAACGACACTTATTTTTCACTATAGTTCAATTATTCCATAATCCAAGTGTATACTTGACTAGTTGACTATTGTAAAAAAAAATTAAAAATCTGCATATTTAAGCATATAATGATGTTTATTGATTATTTTCCTAATTTTTCAGAGAATATTTGTAAGTATTTAAAAAAAATATAAATCTGGACTTAGTCATAACAATAACTTATATTAGTTGCTTATTCTAATATTATAATTATAAATATATTATGGTAAATGTAATCATAATCTCTTTAACAATTCTAGTTTAATAATTCGATATTTAAATTAAGTACAGTGTAAATAGATTATTTGAAAACAATTGTAGTGACAAACCTGGTTTAATGATCTAAAGTTTAAGGTTCTGGCCAAATAATCGACATGGATAAAATTTTTTTTTTTTTAAATTGGTTATTATGTTTTTATAATAATTGTATAGGTGTGGGTAATGTTATTTGTTTTTTTTTATTTTTAGAAAAATGTTTGTTTTTATAATGGCCACATAATATTTAACCTTTTTTCTGTTACACTATCCAAGCACTGCAACCTGTATAGTGTATACATTACACAAAATAAATTTTTTTTTCAATTTTAATTTTATGATATATATGAACTAATTTTTAAATTTAAAATAATGTGAGCCAGGGATTCCCAAAAATTATATGGTAACTAGCAAATGATAATATTATACAATACAGAATCATAGTAACATGTCTAGAGCAGTGAAAGGGTTAAATAAATTTATCATTGAATTTTCCAATAAAACTAAATGGACTGATTCTTCAGCAAAAAGTCTATGAATTATCTTAGGGCCTTTAGTGATAAGCAACATTTTAATTGTTCGTCTGGTTAGATTCAATGGCTTAGATCAAGGCATAATTATATCAAAACCAATCAATACTGAAATAATACAAAATTGGATTGAAAATATCTGATTAAAATTCAGTGGTTGGGAAGAGCGAGCTAATGGTAGTGAAGGTATAGTAACTTATCAGACATCAATTAATTTGCAGCGATTAATGTAGTCGCTACAATACACCTAATGTATCTCAATACTTTAGCACACTAGAAATTTTAGGATAACGTAGCAAAAATTAACTTTATTTTGATAACTATTATATTTATTTATTAAATTATAATAATGATGAGTATATTAGCGAATTTTTTGGGTTTAATTCATGATTAACTAACGTAGTTACATCCCGTCCAGTGACCAAATTTTAAATCAGTATACAAACTATCAACTACCAATATTTAATCGGAACATTTTTTAAAAATGTTGCATATAAGTAGCGATGGCGAGCTACTTTTTTTGGAGTAGCTATAGCATTACAGTGCTACAAAATACAAAAAGTGTCCCAACCAGTGTTGAAATTAGGGAAAGGATATTATATAGATGATCCAATTTATGAGGCAAATGAGGTATGTTTTTTCATGCATTGTAATAAGTACATAATATAACTTATTATTATATATTATTTAATTTTGGTTGTTATAACATATTTAAAATTTTCCTAGTCCCTAGAAGTCACAACTGAAAGATACTAATATGGAAATTGATAAGTATCCAAATTTTTTTTAATTAATTCAGTTATATTATCATTTCATTTTAAATAATACTATAAGGTAACCTGCAAGGCTACAATGTTTTTCCAATTTTTCATTTAACCAAAACTGGAAAACAGTAAATATGTATATAATGCAATAGGTATGGTTGGAACAGTGGACCATTCAGAACAAATTTAATTGAACCATAATAATAATAACCAATATATGTGTATAATGTTGATGATTAAACATAAACAATAGTTTCTAGCCACTTCCTAAACTGTCATTAAATAACTAAAAAATTAAATATAATTAAGTACTTGAATCAATATTTATTTAATCATTAAAAGAATACATTTCAGATAACTATAATTAAGCAACTCTCAGATTATGCGTATTTAAGAGTTCAAGAAATAATAATTTACTTACTATGATATAGGTATTATGAACAACTTAACCAAATAAGGTTTATGATAGGTTCCTACTCCAAAATTAAATTTATACTTACATTTTACTTGAGTATCGATTACAGCACCCTCACGTCTAGCTTTGTTGATGGCCTAGGATAATTTTCAAAACAGATTATGCATTTGCAACATAAACATTGACAAAAATTAAATAAGAACCTGTTCAGATTTCATGGTTGAAGGCTTCGGTGGCCTTTTTCTCAATATTGTCACTGTATTCCAGTCGCTCATGATGATAATATTTTATTCAGAAGTTTTGAAATTAAATTTTAATTCACACTTCTATAAGATTTAATATAACATATCAAGCGTTAATGTACCTTTATAATTAATTTGAAGAGATATGGTTTAGCAATAATAAAAATGAAATACTAGTTAGTAGTAAGTTAGCGAGTAGGCAGCGAATTTGTTTTTGTAGAATTTATTATTTAACCAAGTTGAATAACCACAGTAGGTAATAGGTTATCGGTGTCGCGGCGATGAAATGTCTCGGAAAACATATGACCGATAAAACCAAAGATATTGCAAACTGGTAGAATATGTGGGAAAAACAATTAAATTTAAAAGTTTTATAAAAAGCTAGGCACACCAAATAATTTAATTTTTTTGGATTAAAAGTACACGCGTTAAGTCATAAAATCGCAAACTACGGAAGAATATAACTTCCAAATTAATGATGTCTGCAAAAATTTTTTGGCACTATCGTTGTTAACTCGTCGAAATATATTTTTTATAAAAATCAGAAAAACGCGACGTAATTAAAGTGAATTTATTCTTTTAATTAAAATACAACTAGAGTTTTATAATTGTATACAGATATTTTTATTTTTAAAAATGGACATCCTCCATTCCAGCCTCCACGGGATTAGTCACTCGACCACTAATTAAAGTAATACAACTACACAAGACAGACACAAGCATGATATAATTAAATTTATAAGTTTATTATAGGTATCATGGACACAAGTAGTCACTCCTTTCGACTGGTACCTATCGACTACATTCGAAAAGCTAGATCTCACATACCTCTCGTTGGATGGGTTTATTTTTATTCAGACTTTTTACAAAAAAATCGATTGATAAAAAGAAAAGGTTAGTAGGTACGTCAACCAAAATCTAATTGCTCTATAGTATGATTCAGAGTAAAAAATTGTAATCTTTAAAAAAAATTCATGAAACACACTCAAAGTCGTGAAGTTCATTAGGCTATGACTTCGAAACTAAGTCCGACCTCCAAATTCTGAATTTGCTGTCGATTTCAGGATACCTCCTAAAAACATAAGTTAAAAAAAAAAAAAAAAAAATGAAAAAAATGAAAAAAAGCGAGTCCGATAAAGAAACAAAATACCTAATAAATACTTATAAGTTCCATATCCCCCAAATAATTTTAATTGTCTGTTAATCTTAATTTTATATTGTTTTATTCTTATTATGTAATTGTCAAGCTATCATAGTTGTACTAGCGGCTTTTATAATAAAAAAAAAAAAAAAAATCCCCCAAATAATATTTTTGACTAAAATCGTTTTTCTTAATTTAAATATATATATAACTTCGTCCAAAATTAACTTGAAATTTTTGTATTTAAAAAATAAATTTTTTTTTAATGATCTAATAACAAAACATTGGTGACAACGGCCATAGTTGTTGTTAAGTTAATTACAATTTTTTTTTCTAATGTATATTTTTAATTATAATACTTTAAATTGAATCTAACCATTCAGAATTTCTTAGAAAAGTTAAAATTTTTGTAGGTGGTGAGTTAGGTCACTGCCTGGGTTAGCCCAAGTGCTGCGTCAAGAGTCTTAGGAATGTTGAGTTTGTCGAGTTCCTCAGTGTACTGGAGGCATTCTGTGAGGATATAGTAATGGTTGACAGGTTGACTGATGGTTCGGCGTGCCTAAGGTAGTGCACACAGGTTGTCCATTCATTTCCATGAGGGGGTCCATGCATTAAGTTGGGTGTGTCCAATGTGGAGTCTGTTTATTATTAATTTTTCTCTTCTTTTTGTGAGGGAGTTTAGTCGACTGAAGATGGAATTTTTAATTGTTCTTAATTTGGTTTTTATAGGACCATTTCACCAGCACTACCGCAGTGCCACTTACAAATTTTAATACCAAACCTTGACAGTATTTTGTACTTTTTTTGTACAATTTTGCAAGCCTGGGCAAGTTAATGCTAATTTTTAATTGAGTTAAGTTGATAGAAAACATTTTAAAAACCTTTAAGTTAATAGTGATCCTAATTTTTTTTCAAACTCAGTTAATTTAAAAGTTATTTGAAAAACTTAAAACTAACTTATCAACTTACTTCTTTATTTATTTTTTTTTTAATAAATAAGCAGCTAGTTATATGGACATATAGTTATATGGATATATGGTTTGAAATAATAAAAAGTAAAAGTTTATGCAATATAATTGTATTATATTTAGGTATTATTTAATTATTTATAAATTAACAAAATTGGATTTGATTAATATTAACGAGTTATTTATTAAGTTTAAATCAATAAAAATCAGTTAAGTTAAAAATTAAGTTAATGAAAATTAAATTTTAAAAAGTTAAAATTAACTTGACTTAAACTTTTTAACTCAGGCTTTGCAATTTTGTACAACTAAATCAAAATAATGTTGAAGTCTTAATTTATACACTTTAATAATGTCCATAGTACAATTTTGATTTTTAAAAGCAAGGTACACATTATTACAATTTAATTTCTAAACGTTTAAAATATATTTTCTAAAATTAATCGACATCGTACACATATTGTAAACAAAATTTCTCCAGCAGGTGCATAACAAAATTGGGTTTACTCATTGTTTTTTTTGTGAGATGGGGGTGTACAAAATTGTATAAATAAAGTGCATAACACTGTAATATGAAAATTGAATTTGTTCAACTTTTAGTAAAGAGAGTGCTGGGGAAAGGTTTCTTCAGCACTACCATGGAAACTCTATGTTTTCTCTCGTTTGGGAGGTGTTCAAAACTTTATTTTGGTTGTACAAAATTGTAAAAAAAAGTACAAAATACTGTCAAGGTTTGGTATTAAAATTTGAAAGTGGCAGTGCTGGCGAAACTGACCTGTATGTATGTCTGCAAAAGTAGTAGTATTTAATTTAGTGCATTCTACTGCATTTTTAGCTTCTTGATCTGCCTTTTTGCTGCCTTCTATGTCACTGTGTTCCGGAACCCAGATTAGTGAAATTTTGATTCCTGTTATACTTGGCCTATTTTTTGGAGTGTAAGTTTGGCTATATCTGAGGTGCTATAGATATTTTTGAGGCTCATGAGTGTGGAAAGTGAATCTGACAGAATTATATTGCTTATTTGCTTTTATGAATGTTTCCATGATAATGATTATGTATTATATGTTCCACCGTTTTGAGTATAGCTTAAAAATCATTGATTGTTAAAAAAAGAATTGTATTTGAATATTTTTTAGATTTTTTGGTTTCAGTATGAACTCCTTCTGAGGAACCTTAATGTTCAATTTATATATATATGTAAAAATTATTTGTGAATTTTGTGATTTTCACAAATTTTGTTTGAAAATTATTAAAATGTCAAATATGTAATAATGTCTTTAGATAACTCAAAAAGAGTCAATATATATTAAAAAATGTTTCTATGTATAAACAATTCTAATATAATCCAGCCCGTTCAGAGATGGGTTTCTGGGCTAAAATAAACTCAGACCACAGCAAACCATGCATGCCTCTAAACAAAAAAAAAATAAGCTACCCTAAGTAAGTGTATGTAATACCTAAAGTCCATAGACTATAAGAACTATTAGCAAATTGTTATAAAAAACTGTAGTTACCTATATGTATAGATTTAATAATCTATAATAAAATTTAAATAAACAGGAGCCTCTTGCATTATATTCCCTCTCTGAGCGGGCCTGAATAATGAATATTATCATTTGCTGAAAATTTCAAATATTTATGGATAGATATTGAATTATTAATATGACGATATATGAAAAATCGGTTATTTGTTATGATAGTTACTTCATATTTATTTAAGAATGATAATATTACTGGTGTGAGGGGAAGAATAACAGTTCTTTATTCTTCAATATATTGATATTACAGCGATAAACGACGGAACTCCAGATGTGAAATGTGAAAATATTTAAGTCAGTGTATTGTGTATACTGTGAGTACTAGGTACCTACCCAACTATTTTTGTTTTGCAACTCACTTGTCTATTTTATTGGGATAGAATAAGCTATTATAAAATATAATATTGCATTGCACGCTTCTCAACCATAATTAATTTTTATTCGAAATGCTGGATCATTACCAATATTCAAATCAAATACTATACTGCAGCAATGAGTGCAAACAAAATTATGGTCGAAACACTTATACCTGTTGATTGTTGAGTATTGTACTATCAATAATGCAAATACTGTTAGTATTTGTAGTCTAATTATTATTGATAGTCTAATTGCTGCCTTACTTTACTGGTTACAATAAAGCCAAGTAAAGTCAAAAGATGGATGGCACTTTCGTGTTATTGACTTATTGAATTACTGTCATACAATATTTATAATCAATATTCACGATCGTCAAAAATACTAGAGAGTCCCATGCAAAACTTATAAATAAGTATGAGTATGTGACATACCTACCTTATGAAAAACCTTTTCGTTTTTATTTAGATGGTCCTCGGAACAAAATATAGATGTATAGCCAAAATCTTATCTTGAGTCTTGACGACCGTTAAGTCAGCCATTACAGCCATTGTCAGTTTACTGTAACCGCATAGTGAATATAGTATAATATTAAATTATACATAATAAAACACAATACAGTTCAGTATGAAAGGCTATTAACAAATTATATTTTATTATACTTTATTTATGTACATAATAAAGATGAAATTATGTTTTGAAATAACAAAATAAAAACAAATTATAAATTATTGAACTTATTTATTTTACCTTTAGGTTTAATGCTACACTACAAATACACTACTTTTTTAAAAAATATTTTCAAAATATAAACTGTTTCATGCATGTAAAATTGAATATTTTAAATTGAAAACATTTTTTTATTATTTCTTATAATATTATAATTAAATTTTTACTAGAACATTATAAATTGTTTATAGACTAAATTGCGCATATGGTGTATACTGTATATAATTGAAGACAATTTTTCTTAATCTATTTAGTTTGTATTCTAACTCCAGGACAACCAATTGTACAGATATTAGATTCAAAACCATAAATTTTTAATTCTTGCATACATGTTTGTATTTTAGATTTATGAATATTTGGAGGAACAAGGCATATAGCATATCCTCCCATTCCTGCACCAGTTAACTTTGCATGAAGGTCAAACTTTTTTAATATTGCCACAATAGCATCTAATGTTTCATGCGATACACCTAATGACATCAGCAACCCTTGATTCATATCCATGAGAGTCTGAATGAAACAAAAATGGTTATGTTATACATAAGAATATAATATTACAAAGTAATTTATTACTTACTTGCAAAACACTTATTTGTTGAAGTTCTTGTAGTGGGTTTTGAACCATTTGATCAATTGCATTAACTGCTGAATTTACAATTTGTCCTATAGAATTAAAAATAGCATCGAGAATTGGTTGATAAGTGTCATCATTGTATTTTGTGCGTACACTCTGCACCACATTTCCAGTAGATCTTTCGACACCTTAAAATAAATTATGAATCTTTTAACTTCAAATTTATTTTTAGTGAAATTATAAATTAATACATAAGTAAGAATGTAAGATGTAATATACTTTATACTGAGGTTGCCAAACTGTAGGTTGCGATTATAAATTTGGTGATTCACATTAAGTTTTGGAACAATAATATATTTTTATACTATAAAATATTTAATATTAAATTACTTTGCAATATAGCACAGTATTTTTCATATAACTTAATCGTATAGAATGTATATATCATTGATGTTGATTGTTGAAATTTAGTTATATCATTGATTATTACCCACAGGCCACAATGATAACAAATATCCTTGCGATGTGTCACCATTAAGCTGTTAGGCTAAAAGTTATTGTAAAGATAGTGATTATCCACAAAAAAAGGTCATTAGGAGATTATAGGTAGCTGAAATTTGAACATTTTCCAAAATGGGCTGTACCATAAAAAGTTTGGAAACCTCTGCATTAATACATCTTAAATAATATTTAAAGCAGGTTTCTAATAATTTTTGTCAAACACATTGTACAGTTGAACTCTTGGCAACCTGTAATTCAAGAGGAGTGAAAACAATTGTTGAACAATTGCTTGAAAGTGATTATTTATTATTTTAAAATTTAAAATTATTCAATTTACTAAAAAATATAAATACAAAGACAAATATTAAAAAATTAAGCAGCTTAGTGCTCAATCTATGCATTTTAAACTTTTATCTAGGTTATTAATAATACGTTTTTAGTTCATAAATAATTTTTATAACAAACCTGAATATATCAAAAGAATTTTTAATTCAGGAGCTTCTAATAATTTATGGCTGTTAAGTTTTGTGTACTGAACCATTGTTCCGTATGTGCAAATAGTATTATCTAATCCTGAAGCTTTAGTATGAATAAAATTTTCTGCTAACAAAGCCCATCTATTTATCAAACATTTTTCCTGAAAAATAAACATGACTATAACTCATTTTATTTATATCAGAATTATATAAAAACCTTGGGAATATAAAAAGTATTTTTGCTATGTAAACTGTAAATAAATTTTAATATTTACAAAAATATATTACCCCGTCACTGAATGTTATGTTGTCAGTAAATGCCTCGATAATTAGCAGGTTGTCACCACTTTGTGAATGGAAATCATCCAACAATGGATCAAATTGTATTTCTACATTAGAATTGATTTTGAACTTTACATAGGCCAAACAAGCTGCTACTAGAGAAACACAATAAGATGCAGAACTACCAGTTCCAGCGCCCAACTTCAATACAGATGTGATTCCAATAGTGAATGAAACATTTTTCAATTGTTTCATATAGCACGACAAAATACCTCCAAAAATAAAATGTAAGACAGTAAGTGTTTTTTTTTCATTACCAGATAATGTATCTAGTTCATTGAGAAATGGTTCATTTTTGTTTAATTTGTTTAAAGTTTCTTGAAAATATGTGGTAGGTGAAAATGTCGGTTTTGCATCCAAATGAATTGTCAACATTCCTGAATAATTTATGAGTGGCAAAATAATGCGACATGGTATAGTATTCAAATCTTGGTTATTACAATAACTTTCAGTAAATGTTAAAGTAGTATGTTGATCAATAGCACACGCAATTGCTGGTTTCCCATACACAACACTATGTTCACCAAAAAGGATTATTTTTCCAGGTGCTGTTACTTCAAACTGTATATTAGAACTCATGTTTTATAGAATAAGTTAAAATGTTAAGTCTTAACAAAATGTAATACTAGATCTTCATTTATAATTCAAAAATCAATTAAACTTTATTTAAATTATTCCATTGTTCTGTTGTCAATGTTTTCTGTGAGAACGCGTGTATTTCTTTTAATTCTTCAGCTAGCACTTCATTTACCATTCTGAAAAAAACATAAATTAATAAATTATAAATTTATATATACTGGATGCCTAGAGTGTTTGGAACGTTATATGCAATTTGTACATAGTAATGTTTCTCAAGTTTCTAGACACATTGTATTTTATTTCAACCTAATAGTATTTAACCGATGTCTGTATTAATAATAAATTTATAATTATGTAATAATATAATTATTCATTACGTAGTGATTTATTAATAATTTATAACTAGATTCTTAACCAACTTTCTTTTTATTATCTATAACTATATTAAACCTCACTAAAAAAGGCATACAAAATACGATTTAAAGAAAAACTTGATAGTTAGTTCTTAAATTGAACGACTCAATTAATTATTTGAATACTGATAAAAATTGGAAATTTTAATCAGCAATTATAATTCAAATTGACCTCAATCATAAAAAAAATGACCTTTGATAACTTAAAATACTTTAAAAATATATCAGAATAACATTCCTTTCTATTTGATACATATTAGTAAATTGTTCTTCTCATTTCTTATTTTTGAAATCATGCAAATTAAAGATAATTTAAAATACTAGATCCTCATGAGATAATAATTTTATTTTAAATAGATATATAAATAGTGAAAATCAACTGATAAGACTTGTTCATTAACACACATACAATTTCCTTAAAAATATGTATTTAATAAATGCACCATGGTAGCACGGATAAAATAGAAAGAAATAACACAAAAATCCGTGTAAAAAATATGTAAACATAATTTATATCCCATTTAGTGATATTTTAAAACAAATTAAATTATTACTGTATAGTACCTACATAATATAACTTAAAAACCAATGCTTATGTTTAATACTCAGTATACTTGTCTTAATACTTACAATAGTCAATATCATCAATAGCCATAACAACTATTTTTGTGAAGCACTTTTAACAGATTATAAAAACATATATCCTTAGTTAAAAAATACTTCAGAAAATAATGAATATATGTTGTACAGCCCAGGGATAGGTTAATCATAATTGTTTTAATTAATTTATCTATGGAGTTGAGTTACATATCATACAAATTGTTAATTCATTTCTAAATCAAATAAGCTGATTTTTTTAGTAAGCTATCAGTAAAATTATAATATGTTTCTATTAAGAATTTAGTTTAATACCTAACAACAACTGTAATATATTTTGCTTACAATAATTCACATAACATTATGCTATTCAATTATAAAAGTAATTAGTAATTAGTGTATAAATACATTATAAATTATAATTTACTTCCTATGAAATAATTATTTGTACTGATGATTTAAAAATAAATGTAATAGACAATAGCTACTAAGGAAATACTCACCGATGACGTTGTAATAATGTTTTACCATTAAATTTATCAGATACCACAACTACGCTAAATTTAGCACCACATCCATCGGAATCATCATTGACGGACTAAAATAAAAAATGCATAAAATAAATATACCGTTGAAAAATTGTTACTCAATCAATACCATACTACTTTAAATAAAAATGTTATTAAGTTTTATAAACATTGGCCGTAATAATTACATAAAAACCTGATAAAATAAGAATAATTGATGTAGTTTTGTTTTAATAATAATTGATAAATATATATTACGGATACTGATAACTAGATAATATATCTTTTTTTTATAAATTATTAGTTATTACTTATTACACATTTTACTTTTCATGACATTTGTTAAACTATTTACATTTTTTAATCAATTATAATGACTGTTAAAATAGTCAAATTTTATTTATTATACCTAGTATTTACATAATAAATATTCAAAGTTCAAGCTTATAACATGACATTGACAATATGGTATGTAGATACTAAGATGTTAAGCTTTACCGTTGTTCTATGTTAATTTTGGAATAAAATAAAGTAAAGTAATTAGATGGTCAATCTATATTTACCTGTAAAGATAAGTTTTTCTTAATGCAATACAATTTTGAAAATATTGAATTCAAGTAATTTCATAAGAAAATTCTGTATTTATATTCTATATGTCATATAAATTGCTAACTTTTTTAAAACACCCTTGTCCATTGTCAAAATCTACACTTAATTTTACCCTTATTTTGTAATATATTATCATTGTGAATGTATGGATAGTTATAATAACAGTTCTACATAGTTTGTACTAATATAATAATATAAGCCAGAGGTGTAAAATGAAAAGAACAAAACTAAAACTTTCACATTGATATAATTCATTCTTTATATTTAATAATTGTACAATAACTAATATAGTAACTAAAATATTAATGATAATGTCATTTATAAAATTGTCAATTTAGTTAAAACATAGTTTTCTTAAAACATAGTTTTCTTAAAACTACTTGAAAATAAAAATAATAAATGTATTCTTAGTCGTCTACAAAAAAAAATTAAATAACTATACAGTTGACACAAAATTTTGTATTTTTAAATTAAAAACAAAATTGTTTATAAATTAATTTATCAATACATACAGTATACATTTTTAACATTTAAACAAATTATCAAGTTTAAGCTTTTATAATAAATTATTATGATATTCACTTTAAAAACATAGGAAATCATAGTAAACATTTTTTAATATTCATAAAAAATTATTTAATAAACCCTAGTAACAGAATTTTAAGTAACTTAATATAATTTTTTTTTTGGAACTTGCAACATTAATTGACTAAAATTAAAATAGATCAAAAACAAAATAAAATGCATACAACTATAAACAGATATAATCAAAGGCCATAAATCTGGATATTTCGCAGGAGGTTTCAATGCTATGGCACAAACAGTTAATATGGTACATCCGAATAATGATAAATTACGTATTAAATGTAATTTTGATGTTTCTTTTTGTTGTGAAATTAATTTTTCAATATTATAGTGCACAATAAAATAAATTAACGACAAAGAAATGAATGGGACCAATAAATTATCCCTTATCAATAATGGAAGCATGCTAAATGTTGTCATGGACACAAACCAAGAACACATAAATGCATTTTGAGGAGCGTACATTAAAACTGGTATGGCAACTAAAAGTATGCTTTTTTCATGAACTTGAAATGAAAATAGGAAAAAAGACAATGAACAATTAATCAATGAAAGTAAAAATTTTATTTTGGAAGGATTTTTTAAAAGATCCAGGCATGTGGGCAACACCGTGATAAATGTTGTTAATAGGCATATAGTAGCCATGGTTTTATTATTAATATTCCTCAACTTATAAAGAACATTAATTAGACACCATATATTGGAAACTTTGTCTTCGAAAACACCTCGTTCTAACGGGAAAATTCTGTGTATGACTTGAAACATTTGTTTGGGATCACTCAGAAAAGGAAACCATAATAATAAAAATGTTATTGTCACACTCAATACAAGAATAGATAATGTCTTTAAAGCTGTAACTAATGAATGTTTTTTATAAGTTTCATAAATAAATCCAATATAATAAAAAAAAAATGGCAAAGCGTGGTATAACTCCATTTGTTTGTAGTTTAAGGCCATACTGAACAAAATGCAAGTGAAAATGGTTTTATTGGCGAACATACTAGCAACGCTTGCCACAAATAAACCAAGAGAAACACAGTTATACTGAAAATGTCCATGATCTATTAATATTAAGCCGGGGTACAACAATGCCATTGCAATGGTCATTGTTTGACTTAGTTGGTTATTATTCTTAATTTTGAAAAACTGTCTACAAAACCAACAAACAGCCGGGATGAATATCAACAAGTCAACTATAAGCACAGAATACCTCATGAGAAGTTTATGAAAATTTGACTCAAAACCTCTAGATGTATTGAGTTGGACGGACTCTGGAAGGATTTTTTTAAGTACTAAACCATTTAAATAACTATGGTAGGCTGTCAATGGTGGATAGTCAAGACCCCAATATAATAGATCATTGTCGGTCGAATTAAAATACCATTGAATAGTTGGTATAGAAATTGTTACTTCCATCCAATGCCGTTGGGCTTCATAATCACCATACATCGGAGTTTTTGATTTTCCAGAATAATCATGCAAGCTGACAAACCAACGAAATAATACAGCAATCATTAAGATAAGTTTTTCATCAAGTACTTTTTTCAGGTAAATAGGTATTAAGTTTTTGTAAATCATTGTATCACAATATAAACTCATAAATCAAAATGAGGCACCTGCTTTCACGAGAAATGATGATTGTTCTGGAAAAAGAAAAATGGAAATTGTAAATAATATGACCCTTCAATACCTAAATTATTAAGACAATGTATAAAAAATGTTTATAATATATATTTAACTATTTAAATTTGCTGTGAAACAAAAATAATTTGAATATTTTCTTCAATTTTCATTTAATATAAAACTATTTAAGTACCTAATTTAGTTTTCATTTTTTATTGTAACTTTATTTTTATCTTAATTCTTTTCTTTTAAAAAGTATAATCCTAATTAACAAGGTTGAATGTAATATACCTATACCTATTGTTTGTAAAGTGATAAATCACAATTGCTACCAAAAAATAACACAGGGAAAATGTTTTAACACAACATTTTATTAAAAAAGATATCCAATGAGAGCAATCTTCTTCAGAAAATATTTAGTTTATACAACATTTATTTGTATCATACATTTTAAATAGGTAATCACTTATTATAATTAGCAAAATTTATAAGATACATGTTAAAATAAATAATACATTTTACAAAATTAATAACTTCAAACATATTTTTATTTTACTATTTGTGTTCTATTTCTAAAAATGATCATTAAATATAAATGATAGTAATTAAGTTGAAATTAATTATTCACACTAGTTGTTTTAATTTTCTTCTTTTTAGGTTTGACTGCAATGGCTGATCGCACTTTGAAAACTGCTTCACAAGTTGTGCAAATAGGACTTATTTTGCAATAAATAGTTAAGCATAATGAACACACAAAACCAATTGCTGTTAAAGTTCCATGACAAAAACAAAAAGGTCGGAAATCTAACTGAGGAGCTAATGGTATAACTAATTTTTTCCTAGAAGAAGGTTCCGTCAAAAATATCCATTGTAAATACAGCAATAATCCTTCTAATTTAGGCATACGAAAATATGAACCTTCTGTGATGTAACATGCTTGTTTTAATAGAGTGACATCATGGGTAAGACTACACACATCAATAGCTACATTTTGTTTTTGAGCTGTGAAAAATGTATTCATACAACGTATGTATTTATCTCCTTCATTATCACAACCAGATATAATTAATATTCTAGAATTCATTGTTTCGCCCGGAAATAAATTACTTTGTAATCTGTTTATGTAGCATAAAGCCTTAGCACAAGATGCTCCAAAGACAGTATCTCTAGACATATGTGGTTCTTCTGCCGCATCCTTGAGGAATTTCACGATGTTAAATTTGATAGAACGATCTATGTGACTGAACAATTCATACTGGCTTCCACCCATTTTACAACTACTGACTGTTTTCTTTTTAAAATCAAGTTCATCTTGATCGGAATATATAAAATCACAACTATTTGGGTCAGACGCAAGCACTGCAACTTTATTATGGGTTCGAAGCATTAAGTGGGAATTAGCAAAAGCAACAACAGAACTAAGTATGGATGATAGCTTTATTTCTCCGCTAAGTAAAGTATCTTGAGCTGGGTTAACATCAAGGATTATTACCAGAAGACTGGAAAATATTTTCTTTGGTGTTTCTGATTGCATTCCGCTTGCATTCACTATCGATCCAAATTCAAATGTTATTAATTCACTAGTTAAATCACATACAGTATTTTGTCTTTTACGTAATTAAAATAAAACTTATTAATTACATAGTAACATACAAAACTAAACCCCGCAATTAATTATTCAAGAGGAAAATCGTAATTCGTAAAATAATAAATATTATATTATTATTACTTGTTTAGTTTTGACTTATACTTTATAGTGTTTATGGTCAAGAATAAACAAATACTAAAATAATAAATATACTAACATAATTTTACTAAAATGATCTGAATGCCGACACTTAATCTAATACCGACGTGATACCGCACAACTGCCACAGCCAATTAGAGTAATAGGTAATAAACTAATAAATAAAACGAGTGCCCAAGTCCCTAAGACTCTATAAAAAAAATGATAAGCTAATAAAAGTTACAATATCTTAGAGTGGTATAAATATTATCAATTCGAGCAAAACCACAGTTAAACAGAACCATGGTGGTTTTTTACTAACAAACATTTTATATTTTTCCTCCACATCACGAATTAACTCAAGAATTCTAGATATTTATTATTTTCTTGCAATCGACAATCGTACTCCAGTACTCCACATTGTAGAATTTAGATGTTACATACACAGGTCACAGACGACAGCAGCTGATGCCAGATGTATAATACATTAAACATATATTTTTCTAGATAAATTAAATTACGCTGATAAATGATAATAATTAATAGTTCGAATCATAGACGTGTATAAACTTATATATGTATATGGTTCAAATTTATTTTCATGGATACCCACTGACATCAATAACCCAATAATAAAATTTTCAATCGCGGACACTTGATTAAACAATAATAACTAATTAGACATGACGAATTATATTTAAATTTGATATTAGATACTTCAATACTTGTTCAAAATGTCCTGCTTTAGAGTACGATGTTAAAAATGTAAGAGGTAATTCCAAAAAATTATTTAAAATAACTTTAACGTTCAAATCATAAAAAAACAAAATATTTTTTGACACATAATAATAGGTTCACTGTTCAAAAAAATCCCACACTATAAGTGCAATTTATGGTCACATGATTTTCTAAACTTGAGTTTTCCATATATAATATAAATCTTAATTTGCATTATTTGGGAAAGCGAGGAAATTATATATTTTAGATTGGAAAGTAGACAGTATCTATTAAAAATGACAATAAAAAAAAAGCACTTCTAAAGGGACACATTTTACAAAACTACAACTGTAATACAAATGTGGTTTCATTTTTATTAGGTATACCATAAATATTTTTTAAAAAGATTAATGATCTAAAATAATCTTTGTTCTTAATTTTTTGTTATACCTCTGATTTTGTATTTATGTTATTATTTTTAAATGTTGATAAATAGAATAATTTAGTTTATAATTTATACTACAGGTGTACAGCAGTGAAACACAATATCCTATATATTTAGATACTACTTGCTTGATACCTAACTAAAAAAATTACAGCCCAGTTTGAAATTGCTACATTCTCAAATCAGATATATTAGAACAATGTGATCTTTGTATACATCAAGTCTTCAAATAAATTGTATAAGGTTGTCAATTAATTTGTTATATCTCATTCAATAAGATAGTGATTGTTTGAATTAGACTATAAGTAAAATGACTAATAAGTAAATATTATATATAAGTAAAACATTTTTTTTTATTCTGTAAACAGGATGCAACCAATTTAAAGAATTTTAAGTTAGCAAATAAAATTGGAAACCTAAATGTAATAATAATTTTAAGGTCAGTTGAATAACCATTAAATATAAAGAAAAATGTAATAAGAATATAATAACCTATTCAAATATTATTTTATTTACCTAATTAGTTATGATAAGAAATATTTATAATATGAATATTATACATAATTTTATGTATGATTCACAAAATGTACTTATTTAATATTTTATTGTTTTTATCAAGCACAAGTTACAACCATTTTAAAGGTTTTAAACAATTTGTCATAAAATTCAGTGTTACCTAAAATAAAATAAAAGAACTTTTCAGTTTTAGTGAACACCCTATTTTGTTTTAACATATGTAGTTAAGCATGCTTAAAACAATGGTGAAGTCTGAATTTGGTGGTTGGACTTAGTTTTTAAGTTGTAACTAATTTAAATGTAAAGTATTTTTATATACACCTGGCGTGGTCACTCGTTCACCCGGACAATTAAAATCAAAAACATCATTTGACTTGTTATGTAAAACCTCATTGAGTGGGTCTCGGACTTACAATAGCTATAACTTCAAAACTAAGTCCGACCACAAAATTATGACTTTACTATAATTTTCAGCATATTCAACTACACGTGTTAAAATAAAAAAGAAAGGGTGTTCGTTGAAACAGAAATATTGGTAAGTACCTAAGAAAATAATTAATCTTTTAAAGTATCTATATTTTTAATATTTTGTATTTGCCTAAAAGATTTTGTTAATATTTAAAATAACTGATGAACTATAAATAACTATAATTATTTATTATTCTCTACATAATATAATCATACATAAAGACATAAACACATAAATAAAATATATTCTAGAGCAAGCAGTTATTTTTTGTCAAATAAGTTATTATTTTAGCCAGACATTTTTAACTACAATAAGTCAATACTTTTTAAACAATTTTAAATATGAAATCATTTAAGAAAACTTATTATAGTCAAGTGTACGAATTATTAGACTGATGAATCAAAAATATCGGTTAAAATTAATTTAATTAACAGCTCAGTAAAACCGTAGGCACGTGGGAATAAATAAAATTAACAGACTTAATACTTATTAGTGTATTTATATTGAACTTACCACGTATGATGCGTCTAATGCAACTGTTAATTTGGATTTTAATAAATCTTCACTAATGGTCATTACAGTAAGTAATACAAAATATAATTGAATTAAAAATAGTTTAGAGAAAAATATTGAATGATCTAGTTCAGTACAACATTCGAACCTTGGTACCCTACACAGTACTCGAACTCAACACTCAACAATATAATAGTAATAATTAGTACAAACACAAAACACTTTAAAACGCAATTTGTTTTTTTTATGTTTCCAAAATCAATCACTCAATAACTCTGATAAATGATAATTAAATGTAGGTACTAACTGAATAGTGATTACAGGCAACGGTGCTGCAATTGCATAGTCTCTGAGTGTGTAATCGTAAAGTTGACATTGATAGTGTTCTATGCTCATAGACACTGACTATACTGCAGAATAATATGGTGTTACCAACACTTTGTACCTACGTATTAAATATGCTGAACGTTATGTCATATTTACCAAAAATTAATGATGTTTATGGTAACTGTTAAATGTTAATATTTAAGTTATAGATGACTTAGATTACTTCATAGTTAATTCAAATTGTAATAACTATGTACAGAACCACGGCAGGGTGAAGTAGTTTAATATTTGTTACTATTTCAAATATACAACTGTGGGTAATCGGTCAATAAGTCCGGGGACAAAAGTTCCATTTTGAAAAAAGTTGATCAAAAAGTCCTGATTCATTTTTTTACTGTCGGACAAGTAGTCCCGAGCACATTTTTAGTGTCGGACAAAAAGTCCGGAAATTATGAATAGTCTATTCAATTTTCATCTATTATCATATGTAACTAACAACCCGCCTCGGCTCCGCACGGGTGCAATCATAGAATAAAGATGCCGTACTACTGCCAAATCTGTAATATCTTCGAAAATATTCATTTAAATTATAAATGCTGTAGACTGACATATTGATATATATTAAATGCACAATGTATTTAAGGTACTTAATTGGATAAGGAATTAATGCTGTATTGCAAAATCGCATCGTAAATAAGCCATTATTTCTCGTAAAAAGTAAATGATAAAAAATGGTTATTGTGGGTTATCCCCATAGACCGGCTTATACTATAAGGTAAATGGTTATCCCTAAGAGATGGACACATACCATCACTGACTTTTTTGTAGACTTTTTTAAGGTGTACAAATGTACAATACTGTAGTTCATTCTTTTGATATATCTCGTAGGGTTCAGCCAGCGTTTGGAATGTAAGCTCAAAAAAATTGTGTTTATTTACAATATCGCAATAGAAACCTTTAAAATGATCAGTGTATCTCTACTATATTATGCATGTTATATACATATCAACCTTCTTCTTAAATCACTCTTTCAATCAGACAGACAGACAGACAGACAGTGGAAAGCGACTTTGTTTTATACTATGTTGTCTGTGTTTTATCTTTTATGCTTTATACTTATCTGTGGTTTTATGGAATGATTACTAATGAATGTAATTACTAGGACTTGGATGTTGGATATTGATTTTTTTATTAAATTGTTGTATATATGTTTTTGTGAACAGTTAGGTTAGGTTAGTCAGCCTCTGGCACCCCAAAATCAAAATGTCAAAATCAAACTATACTAAACAGTTATTTTTACATAATAGTGGGTGTATACCGTTTTTACGAAACTTACGATGTTTGTAGTGAATTATTTTTAATTATTATTATTCCTGTAGCCATTGATGTTTGTAGTGACTTTTTAAAATTATTTTTACTGTAGTCATCGATGTTTCTATTTTTATTTTTAATTTGTGTATGGAACTATAATTTAAATTTTCGGACTTTTTGTCTGTCAATAAAAATGTGATCGGACTTTTTGTTCAACAATAAAAAAATGAATCAGGACTATTAGTCCAACTTTTTTCAAAATGAACTTTTGTCTTCGAACTTTTCGTCTGGGATTCACTACTATGATAACGATTAATGGCCTACCGGTTAATCACACTGAACCCGGTGAAATTGTGGCATGAAATATGAATGATGAATATCCCTTGGACGAATCGTGGTAAAAAATTCCGAAGTAGGTAAGTCCTAAGCCTAAAAAGTCTGAGCCACTCCGAGTTAAGAAAGTCCGGTATATATCATATTATGTATAACAATATTTAAAATAATAAATTTTAAAAAAAAAATTCAATGATTATAATAAGGTACTTAGTATCATTACCATCATATTCATATTCATAAAATATCATAGCAATTTCTCAGTTTAATTAAGTATTAACTATTTAGTTAACTAAAATGCCAGTATATAATATGTAAATTATTGTATGTATAAAAATGTTTAAAATAATATATTTAACCGATATATTTTGCCGACATTGGTGCCTACAATCTTCATATTTCTGATTTTGTCAGGTAGATCGTTCAGTTATGATTTGTATCAATACTAATTGGAAGTTTGATTGTGCATCCCATCATATTTTTTCTTTTACCTAATTTTATACTATGTTCTGGACTTTTTAACCATGGACTTTTTTTCCTAGGACAATTTTTAATTTTATCTTGGACTTTTTGGTAGTATACCCCTTTGGACCATGTGCAATGTATACAATACTGTCATTGTATATTATGATCTAAATTCTAAGTAGTAGCATCCCATAAAATATACCAATTTATATAGCCATATAGGTCAAGGCCTCAAAATCAACAGTAATTAAAGTAACAACGGAACAGTGTAGTCGAATGTATCGTATGATTGTGTGAACTCTACTTAATTCTTCTTCATCAGTGAACAGTGGTCACTAGTCAGCAATCTGCATGAGTACATAACATATTAAAGTATAAACCATTAAGCATTTAACCACTGAAGTATATACGCCATTACTCATTACTCATTAGCAGTGATTGGAAAGAGCATTGTTCATGAACACAAGTTCACACGTTCACTTTCATATTTAGTGAACGATACGCCATACGCGAACGTCACTCGTTTTTATTAAAAAAAATTAAATTTAATCAATATATGTTTAAAATATATTGATTATATATATTATATAATACAATTTTCTTATTATAATTTCTATTATAAAAACAAATTTTAAAAATAAAATGGACAGTAGAGAACGAATTCATTATTTTAGTGAAACGTTCCGAACACTGGTCATTAGTGCTATAAAGATATATTGACCTATTTAAAATATAAAATATGCTCAATTACTATCACAATGTGTGGGATAATTAATTATTAATATCGATGGCTGATGGGAAGTTAATGGCATGGTTAATGGTAGTATGGTCGCAAAATATTTAAATTATTTATTCTGTGGTATGGTAACTCATTGGTGGTATTATTAAAAATCTCTAAAATTAAAAGGATAAAATATTTATAATTTCATATATTCTGTATTTCAGTGCTTTAATCGTGGACCGGGACCATGGTGTCTACAGCTACTACTGTTGCAGTGTTGCATACAAAATTGATTAAATTTAATAGACCACAAAATCTTTTTTAAGGGACCTTTACTCATTAGCGCACTATTATTTCATTTAATGTTTTGTGCAACCTAAATAATAACCTAAGTAATAAATATCAGTTATTAACATGGTATTAAGTGTAGTGTATGACACTATGACGTATGTTATGAAATATGTTATACAGTTCGTTCACTATCTCGCTGATGGTTCATATCACGGTCTTAGGTTATCGTGTTCACGGTCTTAGAACCGTGATCGTGTTAATATGTGATGTGATAAGACATTCTATGTTTTTATCATGAATGTTGTTATTTCAAATTTTAATTTTCATCTTTATTTTAGTTCCTAGTTGTAATTTCTATGTACCTACTAAATAAATTTAAATATTGAATTTGCATTTACATAGCATTCAATTGACATTGTGTTCGTTTATTTACCTAAAAAAAAAAAATTATAGTTATGAAAATATACCATTCAATAAGGAATTGTTCAAAAATTTTTTCCCAAGGGAAATTATTTAAACAGAAATTATTCTTTAGTATTCAAAATCAAATATCTAAAATTAGTTCAACCAACCATGATAGAACAATATCAGGAGAATTTTTTGTTTTAAAATTATTAGACAGTTTCAAAGTACCTTACAAAAATCAATTTACTTGCTTATTGATAAGATGCGGTTTTTGTAATAACACATCTTTATACATTAATAAAATTACTGGTAAATAGTTTTATGACAAATCTTAAGCAACTAACTGTTAACATACTTGAACTAATTGAATAATATAAAATGTAAATGTTTTAGGTTGGTTTATTTGTACACATTGTTTGAGATGTGGTGATTGGTCAATATTTAAGTCACATGTAAATAAGAATAATGAAAAAATGATTATACCTACTCCAAAGATTTTTGAAGCTGGTAAAGATTTTAAGAATAAGGCTGATAATTTAATGTATTTTAAATCATTAAAAACTAGCAGTAAAAAGAGTATTTTAAAATCTCTTAGTATGGAGGTAATAGTTCTGCACTATTTTTACACCTAATACCTAGTATTTAACACAAATTCAAACTTTTGTTATTAACATTTGAAATGACAATATTTAAATTTCAAATATGTTTAAGTTTTGTAAGAGATTCACAAGGTTTTAAGGTGGGTTCAATTAACAACATGATATATCTGTAAAAGAGGGAATTTCAGTTTGTTAATTTGTTTTTTTTTTTATACATATTTCAAATTTACCTTTAAATATTCAATTGACGGTTGATTTATAAATTATAGCTTATATTTATAAATAATTCTTTGACCTATTTTGATAGAAGTGTGTTACAGAGAAAACAGAATGTTGAAACTCAAAACTAATCAATCAATAATGATTTATACATAGATAGTAATTTAACTTACTTACATTTTTAAATTATACTTGTCATACTTATGAATATAATATGATCAATATTTATTGTTGCAAATAAAAATGTCAAAATAAATACAATTGACCTTGATCAAATTGACACTTAAAAAATAACACCATTTTTAATGAGTGTTATTTATATTATTATTATTATTACCTATATTATTTTATTTGTTAAATAATATATAAATAATGATATTTGGTTCAAAAATGTATCTCTATCCAGTTCATATATCATACAGTTAAATCGCTTTCGTATTGGGCATTATCTTTTACCCTCCCATGCCTATTAGTTAAACTTAAATGATTCCCCTTTTTGTAAGCTTCACTTGGACAAATTCCTCTGCGATTTATCGCATATCCTTTTCGATTGTCCTACACTCTCTATAAAACGTACTTATTTAGTTTCTTCCCTTCATTCCTTAAGCGTCCCCTTCAATCTCTCCTCTA